ACGTCTGATGCAGGACACTCTGCAAGAAACTACCCAAGGAGTCTATGATGTAAAAAAACAAAGCTGAAAATATAAAATCAGGGCACAAACTGGGTTAAAAATGTACCAAGTCCTGGATCTCATCAGGGCAGAACATTCCTTGTAGAAGGAGATGGAATGGGATATCCACACAGTAGAGGAAGATTTTGAGAACTTTTACAAGGTGATAATGCAGCTTTCAAAATACTTCAGAGCAGAGTTGAGGGAGCCCTTGCTTCTAGGATGCTTGTTCTCTTCCACTTTCTCTGGAAGTGAAACTCAGAGAGGGTTTGGCAGGCTTCTTGTTCTGGAAGCCACAGGTCAAACTGGAAAAAAACCCCAAACAATATGAGGGTACCTGTGCTGACCACAACCACTAGTTTCATTAAACACCTATATGAATGAAGGAGTTTCTAAAAAGGGAAAGATTTTCCACTGCCTAATAGCAAATGATCTGACGGATATTTTTGTCACTTCTTTTCTTTGCCTGATGTATCCAGAGAAGCCTGGTATGTGTCCTTTGGAAAAGCAGAAAATATGTTCATGGACATTCAGAAAGTTTTTCTGGACACACTGGATCTACAGGCTACATGATAGGGAAGTGATTCACTGGAAAATATGCTAACTTCCTGGTTTTATTGTGTATGGTAAGATTTGTGTCCACGCTGTTTTCATCCAGCTGGGATGCTGGTAGAAGGGTATGGTCAAAGGTTAAAAAAGCATTTGACACTGTCCCACCTGAGATCCTGGTCTCTAAACTGGAAAGACAGGTTTGATGGATGACACAGTAGGTAAGGAACTGGTCACACTCAAAGAGTTGCAGTTAATGTCCCAATGTCCAGCTGGAGACCCGTGGCATGTGGCATTCATCGGGGTCAGTGTTGGGACCGGTGCTCTTTAACATCTTTGTTGATGACATGGACATGGTGGGATTAAGTGCACCCTTGACAAGTTGTGTGGTGCAGTCAACACACTGGAGAGGGAAGGGATGCCATCCAGAGAAACCTGGACAGGTCTGAGAGGTGGGCCTGTGCCAGCCTCATAAAGTTCAGCAAGGGGAAGTGTAAGGTCCTGCATGTGAGCTGGGGCAATCCAAAGCACAAATTATAGGTTGGGCAGAGAATGGATGGAGAATAGCCCTGGGGAGAAGGACTTGGGGATGTTGGTGGATGGGAGACTGGACATGAGCCAACAATGTGCATTCACAGCCCAGAAAATCAACCCCATCCTGGGCTGCATCACAAGTAGTGTGGCCAGCAGGTCAAGGGAGATGATTCTGACCTTCTACTCTGCTCTTGTGAGACCCCACCTGCAGTACTGAGTCCATTTCTGGGACCCCCAGCATAAGAATAACATGGACCCGCTAGAGTGAGTGCAGAGGAGGAATACAAAGATAATCAGGAGGCTTATCACTTCTTCTGTGAGGACAGGCTGAAAGAGTTGAGGTTGTTCAGCCTGGAGAAGAAAAGGCTCCAGGGAGACCATAGAGCATCTTCCAGTACCTAAAAGGGCCTACAAGAGACCTGGTGAGGAACTTTTCAGTACGGACACATGGCAGTGATAAGAGACGGGGGAATGGTCTTAGGCTGAAGGAGGGTAGGTTTAGAATAGATATTAGGAAGAAATTCTTCACTAAGAGGGTGGTGATACACTGGCACAGGTTGCCCAGAGAAGCTGTGGATGCCCCATCCCTGGAAGTGTTCAAGGCCAGGGTGGATGGAGCTCTGAGCAACCTGGTCTAACAGAAGATGTCCCTGCCCATGGCTGAGGGGTTGAAACTACTTGGTGTTTGAAGGTCCCTTCCAACCCAACTCATTATATGCTTTTATAATTTTTGTCTCTTAGGTGAAAGATAAACAAAGAGCTGCAAATTTAGTATGCTGTATATATATTCTGTACACATTCTGAATACAGCAAAGAGTACAACTGAATGACAGAGCCAGGTACAAGGCACTTCACTGTATACATTATTCCTATGGGAAAGAGAAGGGAACAAAGAGTTTTGGAAAGTGAACTATGGCAGCAGATTCTGTGTCATCTGATCATCTGAGCAAAAATCTGAGAATATGACTGTGCAAATCCATATATAAGGGATCTAAGTATTTTTATGTTTTGTGGGAAACTAAAAGAATTTCAAATTAAAAATTAAATTGCCAGTGGGTATCTCCAAGGTAGGTGCTACTCTAGTCCTACAATGGAGTGACTGAAATTAAGGATGTGTTACTTATGCACAAGGAATACACACACCAAACAAAGCCTCAAACAAACAAACAAAAAAAGACAAGCAAACAAACAAACCCTGACTAACTTAATGCAGATGACAGGATTTTCCATAAACCATTCCCTGTTTTTCCCCAAAGCTAGCAAGCATATCTTCTCCATGAGAACACAGAGTCTGTTCTTCTATGTACAAAACTAATGCCTTCCAAATCAAACACATTTGAGAGTCATTATTGGAGAGGCAGATCTTGTACATAGTTAATCTGATATTATAAACCACCTCCTCCCAAAGCACAATGAAATCTGTCGGCCAAAACTCTTCACTGGCAAAACCTGAACTGGGTAATTGGGTGAGGGCTGGAGCAATCATACAAGGTATTATGAATGCTGTCAGCACAGCTGACTAGATGCAGTGCCTATATCAATTCATGGGGAAAACTTCTAGAGCTACATGGGATTCAGGAACAGTAATATCCAGAGTATATTAAGAGGTTACATCATGGTCATCTGGGAATTAGAAAACTCAGTGAGTGTCACAGTGACTTTGGAAACCTGTTAAGACTTTCGACACATGCCAAAATTTGCTAAAATTATAAAAAAATAAGGCCAAATAACTGAAACAACATGTGTGGGCTCTCGTACAAAGAGCACATTTGCTCATAGTGGCTGAAGAAATAGTGTATGTAGCTGTTCTGTACTAATCTGTTCTTAGTATTTCCCTGATACAGCCTTACCAAATGATTTAATATTAATGTCAGTGATTGTACTTAGACCACACATTTCCATGAGAAGCAAATTTTAACCCAGACTCCAAGAAAATTGAGAAATAAGACTACATGTTATAATTGAGAAGAGTTTAGCTGGTAAAAATTAAAGCAGTTTTTGTTTAAACGCAGTTCTCTGTGAATTGATGCTTTTCCCCGTTTTCCTGGAGCTTATGAATCAGTAGAAAGTGATTATCAGAGTAGTCCACTAAAAAGGTTCTGACATCCTGCATCCTCTTGGTTACTTTTGTAACTTTGAAGGACATTTTCAGGAAGTGGACTGTTCAGATTTCTCACTCTACCGTCACTCAGTTTAGATGATTACTCAAAAGCATGGATGAAGTGAGTTTACCTTGGGTTGTTCTGAGGAATCCTCTCGACAGCTAGGTTTTCCCAGTGGGAAACTGTGTGGCACAACTGCTGAAGCAAGCAATACAACATGAATGTAAACCCATTGATCAGGGAGGATAGGGGCTTTAGACTGTGTTACATGGGCTTAGCTGCTAGATCTGACCTGAAGGTGGGAACAGAGGGCAAACATGTCAAGTTTCCAGATGACACCAGATGTGGGGACCAGCAGATATGCTGGTGGCAGGACTGCTATTGAGGGGCATTATGAACAAGGGCCAACAAGGAACTCATTAAATTCAATACAGACAATAGTTCAGCCCAGAAATTGGAAGGCAGGGTCCTGCAGAGATACAGGCTGGGGCTGGTAGTGACAGAGAGCAGCTGTGAGGGATGGTCCTGCACATTAGTGGGCACTGAACTGAGCTGGAGCAGATTGTGTGCCTGGGCAGACAAGAGAGGTAGTGGTGCCTGGGGTGGTGTCAGCTGGATACAGCCCCATGAGCCAGAGGAGTGCCGGGACCATCTCCTGCTTGGTCCTGGCCAGCCCCTGTCTGGTACTGCTTCCAGGTTGGGTCCCCAATATAAGAATGACTCTGACAAACTGGTGGGAGGTAAGGGGAGGCCATGGAGACAATGGGGCTGGAGACCCCATCCTGTGAGGAGAGGCTTCAGGACCGGGTCTGATTCAGTTGGGAAGAGAGAGGACTTTGGGGTCACCCAACAGCAGTCTTGGTATGGACAGAAGGGAGACAAAGAAAACACAGCTGTCAGAGTGGTGCATGAGTGGAGAGTGGGAGGCAGTAGCACAGCTGAAACAGTGGAAACTCATAGCATCTGTAAGGAAGAAAAGTTTTCCCCACAAGGACAGCCCAGCATTGGAGCTAGGGCCATGAGAGGCTGTGCTGTCAGAAGCCTTGGAGGCTATTAAACCCCAACTGGATAAAGCCCTGAGCAACCTGGTCTAAGCTCAAAGCTGGCTGTGTTTTGGGCAGAATTTGGGCTGGAGACCTCCTGTGGTCCCTTCCTAACTGAGTTATCCTGGAACCTATGAACTACAGCCTCAGCAGCTCCTGCACCATTCTTGGCTAAAAGAGAGAGGGTACTCTGCCACGGTCCTCTGGTAGGGCAGGTTTTGTGGCTGGAAAGGACAGCAGGGCAAGTTATGGTAGCAAAGGAGCCCTGGAGGGGTGGGAGCCCCTTTGTCCTCGGCAGACGGGTTTGAGTGAGCATCTCACTACTGTGTACCAGCGCCTGATGGGGAGTACATCATACAGAGCCAGGCTCTTCGGCGGTGTCCAGTGACGGGAGCAAAGCATTGGGCACAAGCGGAAACACGTGAAAATCCACTTAAAAGTAAGAAAAGCATATTTTCACTCAGAGGGAGCTGATGCACTTCGGGGGGTTGCCCGGAGGGGCGGCGGCCTTCCCTCCCTGGAGGGTACTCCAATCCCAGCCACCCCGGCCTCGGGCAACTGGCCGGGGCCGACCCCACTCCGGGACGGGGTGGGACGGGCCGCCCACCCGCGGTGCCCTGGGCCCTCCCCGCCCCTGTCCTGCCTCCCGCGGCCGCGGCTGCTCTCGCTGCGCCCCGCCGGGGCCGCTCAGCCCCGCGCACACCCCGACCCGGGGAGGCCGCCTCAGTCCCGCTCCCGCCGCCGACCCCGCTCCTCCGGCGCGAAAGATGCTGCGGCTCTGCCTGCTCGCCGCGCACGGTAAGAGCCCCGGGGGCCGCGCCTCGGCACCTCCCGCCCGCCCGGGACCGGTGGGCGCTGCTCCGAGGCTGCTCCGGGGTGGGCGGCGGCCCCCGGGCCGGGCGTGGCGTGACTGGGGCTCGCTTTGTTCTTGCAGCTCTGCGGCTCGCCGGGGCGGCCTTGCTCTCCCCCGGGTCGTGCGCATTCGAGGACAGCGCCTGCGGATACCAGTGGGACTACGCGCATCTCCCCTGGGCGCTGCACGGGGAAGGTGAGAGCGCTGCCGCCCCCCGGCCGTGCAGCTCCCCCCGCACCTACATTGCATTTCCACGCGGGTACAGCCCTGCTCTGGCAGCTGCCGCCGCCCCCCGCGGGGAGTGACCTCCGCATCCCGTGGTGCCGCTGCTCCTGGGGGTGCCGCGGTAATCGAGTTTCCCAGGGAAACAGCCGCCGTCGAATCCCTCCCGTGTGCAGATTCAGTCTGTGGGTGTCAGTCCCCTGACAGCTGGTGATGGGCGGGCGCTGTGGGGAGGCGTCTGCACCCCCCGGCGCAGGTCTCTCCAGGATGCCTCATAAGTCTCATTTCTTCTCTTGTCCTTCACTTTCTGTTGGGAAAAGGTATCTTCTAACAAATCCTCTCTCTAAAAAAAACCCTCATATCTGTCACATTGCTGTTAAGCTGCGTTATTGTTTTTTCTAAATATATTTTGTGTTTCTACAGCAAAAGCAGAGTCATTTTCGGGGTAGGAGACAATTTTTGGCAAGAGCATCTCTATAATGTGTTCAGTTAAGACTCTTCTCTGTTTCATGGTACCCACAGTTCAACAGGAAAAAGTTAAGCATTGGTCTGTCAGTAGGTTGTATTAGAGTTTATAAAACTTACTGACTTTGAAAGACAGAACAAAATCCAGTCACTGTATAGAATTTCCATGCACCTGTAACTCCTACTTGGTAAGCTTTTAGTGCAGACTCCGGTTTTAGACAGCATCTATGTGAACGTACAAAAAGACTAAACAAAAATAAATATAGCATTGTTATAACTGGGAGACAAAATAATTTAGCTTCGGTTATGTTTTCACTGCAATGAAGTGAAAGTTCTGCTCACACAGTAAAAGGGACTATGTGTTTTTAAAGTTTTTAAGTTCTGAAACAGGTGCCAAGAATAATGAAGAGGTGAGTACAGATATAAAAGGATAGTCACCTCCTCCTTATCCCTCATCAGTGCTCCATTCAAAACTGTCTGGTCTAGTCTATTCATTCCACCTGTCACTCAGTTCATAAAAAACTGGGGGGTTTTGTACCCAGTTCTAACATATGCAAAATAGGTCATCTTAATTGTTAATTTTTAGATTGATCATTAGACTTTGAGAATGTACAAGGAGTGCTCAGAAAAGCGTTCGAGGATGTCATAACTGAAATACTTGCTTTTTATTTTATTTACTTGTTTGATATGTATTTGTTAGTTTATTTATTTATTTAACTATACATAGATTTTCCTGTATTTTTGAAGATACTAGTGGAAATTTAGTAACCATCTTTGCAATCCCGGCTATGCCTCTTAGCATCATGCCCTCTTAATCCACTGATCTGTGAAGCAAGATTGGGATTCCTTGGGATTGACAGAGAGCCATATGGTAGTGGTATTGATTCAGCTCCAAGGGACTATGAGATGCTGAGAGTAATACCTCAAATACCTGTAAAAATGGAGGTGCATCATGTTGTTCACATCCATACTACAGTGCTTCAAGAAACAAGGAAGTTTTATCTGAGGTTTGGATCAGCGGCCTGCTTTTTTTGGTCCACAGAACACAATTTTGGTTGTTGTAGTTTGATTTTTCTGTGCAACCATAAGCATACCAGTGGCTGCACAGCTTCTGTCATTGCTCATCTTATTTTCAGAGATATATAATTGGACTGTCATACTCTGGGAAGATATGTGATATACTAGCTCTGTTAATAGGCATAGTTCTGTCAGCATTTCCCTTATAAACAGTTTCCCACAGTCTGTAATTTAATCATAGCAAGTCATTCCATGCAAATATTTGGCACAGAAGGTCTCTTCAGAAATACATTCATATAGTCGTAAATAAATCTGGTTGAAAATAGTTCATCCAATTCTACACAGCAGGTGTGCAAAACTAGTCTTTCTTAGGTGCTCTTTCATTTGTCTCATAAAACTATGCTCCTTTTGGCAGCACTGGGTCCTGGCATTTGCTGTTCACTGTATGTACATGTGGTAACTGGGACAACAGGGAAAGTTAAAGATGGGAGAGGCAGCTTAGCTTTGAATTCTTGGACTTCTTCCTTGCATTGCTTCAAAGTTGCTTTATTATTTTAAAATATTATTTGTAATATATTCATATTCAGCAGATCTCTTACAGGGATTATCTGACTTGCAGTGTAAGTTCATTCTTCTTATAAATCTCTCAATAGTGTGATCCTGTGCCAAAATGTCAAGGTGATGTAAATATAACTAAAACTATGCCCAGAAATTTCCACTCCATACTTGAAAGTTTTTTGCCCAGTTGCCAAGGACTCCAATAATTTCTGATGAGCTAGGCACAGAAAGGAAGTGTGAGACTTAAGTTTTGCCTCTGTTTATAGCTACACATTCCCACTTAAATGAATAGGTTTCAGCTGCTTTTTGAAATGTTTCTGGCTTCTCTTTAGTGTTCTGGTAGTTCTAGGATACACGATTTTTTTTGGTGTTTAATTTTAGGATTTTTATGATTGAAAATACTTTTATTTTTTAGCTAAAGTGGGCACTTCAGGGCAAAAGAAAAATCTGAAGAAAATATTAAATGCTAAAATAATTAGCTGGTTCACTCTTTACTGCTTTACTCAAGAATGGCAAATCAAACCCTAATGAAGTGGGTGGTTGTAGGATACCAGCTGCATAAGAAACAATTCCGGCACCTGTCCAGTGCTCCCATAAACTTCTGCTTCTGAAATCCTGTGTAAGCCTCAAGCTCTCTCACATGACTCTGAATTCAGGAGTAGGGCCTTCAAATGTAAACACCAAGGTGCTCTTTTTAACTGAGCTTTTTGAGTGTCTCACCTGCTAGGCCAGTGTTTGCATTTTTGGGATTATAATGACAAACACCGTGCAAAGAAAAATGTAAAATATAGGAACAGCTGAGGATGTGAATTTCTTATGAGCTTACCTATGACTGAGAGGCACACCTAGCTGAGGTTATGGCCCAGGCTGAGTAAATACAGCATCATGCTTGAGGCAGCATGTTTCCTAATGCGCCAGCTCTGTTTTCAGTGTAAGCCGGGGAATTCCACGTACATGTGTTTTGCTTCATGAAGTGGGTGTTTGTAGGATACCAGCTACACAATTATATGGTTACTCAGGAAAACAACATCATCAGGTAACCCTGGTTCTGAAATCTGATGAGGAACAGATGAGTTTGTGTGTAACCGGTGATAAGATCTGAAAGCTTTAAGCGATTTGCGAGTGCACATAAATAAAGCTGTCAGCGGTCCATTTTAACTTCAGAGATGTAGGCATGGTCCCACAAATATTCTTGCATTCATGATGCCTCTGAACAGATAATTTATTTTTAAAAATCTAGATCAGAATACAAGACAAAGATCAAACTCCTTGGGCCCAACTAATGGGTAAGAAATTTAGAAACTGTATCTATATTCATCACTACTGTGATAATTAGAGGTTCTATAATGCTGCTGCTGCTTTTGAGAACACACGCAGGATCACTCTCGAGGAGAAAAGACAACGCAGAAAGAATCGTGTCTCATCGATATCACCTGGGGAGTCTTTCTGCTGCGCCTTCCGCAACCGGACTTGTCTATCTCGCATTGGCCTTTTTAGCCATCAGCGCGCTTGTAGCAAGCATGGGTAGAGCCCCTCTCAAATCTTCATTCGCGAAGCCCAGCCATGATGATGATGATAATTAGAGGTAGCTGAGAAGCTTGAATACCATGTTGCTTCTACTAACACTTGCAGGTATATTTAGCATGAGTTCATGTCCAGTTATTTTGGGGCATATATAGAGGTTTGCATGGTGGCAGATTTCCACAGGAATTTGCTTCTGTGTAGGCAGCATATATGTGGCAAGGGAGATACCTGGTAAATTTTAATACATGTTGTCAGGCTTTGGAGGATAAGGTTTCATCAAATAATCTTGAGATTTTCTTCAACCAAATTGCACATTTTTTTCAGAGGACACACATGCTTTGTAAATGCAAAATGATCTTTGAAACAAAGGAAGATACTGTATGTAATAATAGGCAGTAATCCTGAGTAGAGGGATAAATAAAGCCATGCAGACCCACTTGAAATGGCAGTAGGACACACATCCTTATATCCACTGCAGCCATTCTGGAGTGTTGAATTCAGGCATTTTTTGCTTTCCTCTTAGCCCTGCCCAGCACAGAGCTGGCAATAACTGGCTGTAAGAACATCTTGCTCACAGCATTATTATAGATAAATTTCATTAGACACAATAACTATGGCATGTCTTTTCTGTGACTCTGGACAATGTTTACATTTTGCCTAGAATATCTGTACAGCATTTTGTGTGAACTGTGTCTCTGGTTATGTTTTGTTTTCCATTGCCCTTCATTCTAACAGGGACCAGTTAAACAGAGCTAAAAATAATGTGCATTTGGGCTGTTAGCTCAAGTCTGCCCTAATGGAGTTTGCTATGCTGCAGCTGCTTGCCTGGATTTAAACACTAGATAAGAAATTCGTCTATTACCACACCACACTGTAGGAAAGAGAGACTGTTTATATTAGCAATGTGCTCCAAAAGACAAGTGATCCTTGTTAAATGTGCCCATGCACTGTTTTAATGAGTTTTGTGTCACTGAAACACTGAAGTTATGACTGGTAGTTGATACAGCCGTATGCACTTATCATCCTTAAAAAGAAATAGATTTCATTCAGACGAGTGATGTAATAGATTACATTATATGCAAACATAGTGTTATTTTCTTATCCTTAAAGTTTGCCTACTTTTTGCCACATTAGTCCAAAGCACACTGTTCCTGTGATACATTCCAAACAGGCATCCATCAAGTAACAGATTATGGTAAGCAGGTAAGCAAGCAACATCAGTAACAACAGTTTCAGGTTTTGGGACATACTTATCACGTAGCTACACCTCAAAATGTACGGAAAATACTTTCAAGAGACAGGACAGCTAATGCAGGTCATCAGATAAGTCAGGCATGAGGGCAGCAGCATAAGGAATCTCAAATCTAAACATTGGTTGCATACCATTAAAATAGCTTGTATTTACAGCT